GCAAGCATTCAGAGTGCAATAATAACCTTTGAATGAGGTAAGAAACCATAGTGGCATGCTCTGTCCAGCTTCTGTCATAAGTAAAGATTGACATGTTGGACATGATAAAGTAAACGCTCGAAAACATGACGCCTCATCCGGAAGTGACGTTTAAAATCCTATTTTGTGTACATCAAGTTAGGGTTGAAGTAGTTATTCATTAGAGTCTCATTCGCCATCTCTCTATTTCGTGGTTTATAAGAACAACCAACAACGGAGCCACCCTATTGAGGCTGTTCTTCAGTTGGCTCACACACTATGACCCCAGCCATTGTTGCCATATATGTTGTGTTGCGCCATGCTTCATCTTCTTCATCGGACTCCTCATCTTCTCATCTCATATGTGCCCATTTATCTTCCAATTCAGAATTGGATGAGAACCCCCATTTGAAATGCGAAGAGGATCCAAAGTTGGAATTCATTGCAAACTTGAATTGAAAGAGATATTGGAGAGGGAAAAGATGAAGGTGTGTGAATTATAGCCCAATATCCACACTATTTATGGACATTGGAAGCTAAAGATAAAAAGTGCCACACAGATAAAAATCCTATCTAAAATTCGCAAAACCAATTACATCTCGACACGTGGCACTCAAAATCCTATCCGAAAAATTATTAAGATTACATATCAACAAGAAATCTGGAGAGTTACTCACATATTGACATGTGGCACTCAAAATCCTATCCGAAAAATTATTGAGATTACATATCGATAAGAAATCTAGAGAGATACTCACTTTAGTGACACGTGTAACTCGAAATCCTATCCGAAAAATTATTGAGATTACATCTCGAAAAATTATTGAGGTAATTTAATTTAAGTAACCATATTAATTCAATTAAAATAATAAATTATGTTTGGCCCATGGGTTTTTTGTCACAAGGCTACGTTTTGCCTATGGCCCTTTGGCCCCTTTGGTTGAAGATGGTAAGAAATATGGCTTGACACTGTTCTAAAATATTAATTTCTTGGATGGCTAAAGGGAGTCATCTGGCCCTCATTTGGTTAGAGATGGCCTTAGTGATGCACACGAGTCCAACTTAATCCCATTAAACTTAGTCCGTGCTTGCACCAAACACGGACTAGTAATCCTGGCTAAGCTAGTCCAGTGCAGTGAAGGTTAGCGAGGCCAAACAAACACGCCCTTATATGTTATCTAATAACTATTAATTATTCAACTTAGCATACCTTTAAAAACCCTAGCCGACATTCACTTCGTTCCATTCATTTCAACCGTAGATCAAGTCTCTTCTCCATCTCTCTCCATCTCTACCATCCATCTCATCTTCGCCATCCACCAAACCACCACATAGCCCGCGAACTCCATGTCCACCATCTCTCTTTCGTATGACAACCTACATGCCACCACAATTGCAAATCGAGTCTCTTTTCATCTGTCCCCATCTCTGCCCTTTATCTTCATCCCCGACATCCAACAAACTACCACCATGGCCTTATGACCTCCATCTCCGCCCTTCATCTCCATCTATGTCACACCACGAGGCACCACAGCACCACGATCTGCTCGGTCTCTCATCATCATTTTAATATAAAACCCTCCCAATTATGCAGATCCTTTCTTTCTCTCTTTCTCTCCCTCATTCTCTCAATTTAGCATATTCTTCCTTCCATCCTTCCTCTCGCTACCACAACTACAAATCAATCATTGTCGTCACCAAATTTCAGTCATCACCACCAACACACTTTATTGAACTGACCAGAAACCAAAATAAGTTTCAATATTTTTCAAGATCTTGAAATTTTCAGTTCGGAATTGGACCAAAAAAATATATGATTATTTCAAAAATCCATTTTCGTGACGAGTTTCGAACCCTAAATAAAGTCAAGAGGTTTCTCAAACCATATCTCGTTGGCAAAGTGTACAACCTAAAAGCAGACAGTCAGTTGCTACCTCATCCTCTTTACGGCAAAACATATGAGAAATTTGAACAATGAAGATTTTGTGCAAGTGCTTTTTGAATCAACACACGAATCATCGAATCATCCTAAGCTTTTTTTTTTGCCAAATCATCCTAAGTTTTTAAGACAAATGATATTAAGACGTGAAATTGAACACAAAATTTTAGATGTATAAACAAATTTAATGTGTAGAAAAAACGGCACAAGAAGAACTTTATTGGTAATCAATAGTTAGAAAATATTTCTTTGCCTTCTTCATCATTTCATTGTGGAATTCGGTTAAAGATTGACGGTTGACCTAACCACCAGAACAGTCTACCATACATGGTACATTGCATAACATAACAAAGTATCAAATAGAAAATTGCGATCTGTTTTCTCTACGACTCCTCAAATTTATAGACAAATAATGACTTTTGCAAAGTGATTTGGCATAATATTTTATATTTCTTCTACATTGCTGGATGTACTTGAAAAATCATCAACAGAAATCTAACGCCCTATTTGGTATCCTATTTGAAATTTTTTATCATTTCTCAAAACATTTCTTAAGAACATTTCTTGAAAACAATTTTTTTTTTAAACTCAAAAACTTGATTGGTTTGCGATTTAAATTTTTTAAATCTTTCAATTTAAACTAGACAAAGAGATCTAAAAAGAAGGGGTCGCACGAGAGGGAGAAAAAGGAAAGTGGAGAAAAGAAAGTAAAAGATGATCGAATGAAAGAAAAGGAAGAGAGAGGATTGGACAAGATAAAGAGAAAGATGAGTGAGAGAAAGAACCAAGATAATGAAGAGAAGGGATTGGAGGAGAGGCAAAAAAAGGTAAAAATAAAAAAAAGAGGAGAGAGAAAGAAGAAAAAAGGGAGATATATTTAAAGTGAGAGGGGACGAGGGAGAGAAAAGAAATGAATGAGTTTAAATTTAAAAACTCTAAAAACTAATTTTTTATGTTTTTAGATAATAGACTACATTTTTAAATTAGTCTTGAATTCAGTTTTTGAAAATAGTCCTACCATACAAGTTTTTAAGGCCTAAAACTTGAAAATTGTTTTTGAATTTAAAAAGTTGGATTCAAGTAGAGTACCGAATATGCTCCAATCATTTCATTAATGGGTAGTGTTCTAAAACGCGGGCTAGGCGGCCACCTAGGCAACGGCTAGGCGCTGGACGACGGGCCTCCGCCGCGATTATTATGAAATCGTTCAACAAATCGGAAGAGCTATAAATCGGTATCTAAGCGGCCGTTGGGCGAGCTAGGCGGTCGTTGGGCAAGCAACGCGGGCTAGGCGGCCTCGGCGGCCTCTTTGTTTTGTAACCAAAAAAAAAAAACTCTTTGTACTAACGACAACAGAGTGATCTGTTGAGGAAGGAGAAAAAGATCTGCAATTTTGTTGTTGAAAGAAGAGAGAGAGAGAGAGAGCTGTCTGGAACTTCTTGAAACCATCGACGTCGGGAATCACCACTACACTGACCTACACAATTCAGTTGATTTTTGAGTTGGGTTGGTCGGGATCTGTTTGATGAAGATGAAGGCTTTTTTGACGATACAGGTAATCACAGGGCGATAACTTCATATTGGGTAACTTTAAATTTGCATTTTATGAGATTAGTATCCATAGAAGTATAGTTTGGTTTTTAGGTGTAAATAGAACATTTATGGGATTTAAATTAAATGACACGTATAAGAAAGATAAATTATATCTAGGCCGCCTAATGAGCCTAGGCGCCTCATCTGATCCGAAATTTAAAACTAAAAAGTGTTTTTTTTTTTTTAAAGAAAATCAACTTGATAAATAGTAACTTATGAGCATATAAGAAATTCTCATTAATTTAATTCACTTCTAAAGGGATGTTTGTAAACCTTTTATCATTTGTTAGGGTTAATATAAACAATTTGAAGGTAATAAAAATATGAATAATCTTTTTTTTCGTTATTTTGGATTATGATAAATTAGTAAGTAACACAAGAGGTTTTACTAAATTTGCATTTTTGATTGCCATTTATGATTATTTTAGGGTGCACCGTCTTAATTTAAAATCATAGAACAAAAAATTAAAAAATAGCATTATTTACAAGAATATATTAAATAAATTTAATAAACATCTAGAGGCCGCCTAGCCTGCTAAATCATTCTATCCTGTAATTGCCTTTCTTTAGCGTTTTGTAGAAGTCATTGATGAGAAGTGTTATTGATACTCCTTAAAAAGATTCTGAGACAACAAGTGTATTTTTCATTTGAAATTAGAAAATTTTCTTCGTTTATAAAAATATTTTAAGTGTTTTTATTCCCTTCGTATTTTTTTATGTAAATATTGTAAGCCACAAGGACTTTGGTCGCCCACTTCTGTCATTGTACTGCCGAATTCACATTTTTTGGTGGTCTAATACACGAGTGGCTCCCACAATTATTAATATGATTTAAATTAGACCCAATATTAAAATGAAATACAATAAATATGGACAAAGGAACAAACGGAGCCTGCAAAGAATCATTTCTTGGATTTTATTTTCGAATTTGGTGTAGATAGGTGGTTGGAAAAGATACTGGGACGATCTTTTTCTGGAAATTCAGGCTCTCAGAAATCTCATGTATAATTCATGTATATTGTGTTTTTGTGAGATTATTATTATATTTAATTTAAATTTTAAATAATTTCTAACTGTACGATCTACGATAAGCGCAATGATTTCTGAATCCTCCAGATCCTCGCCATTCTTTTGGGGTGGGTTCTCAGGTTCTCTTAGTCTAGCAATGGTCAGTTTAGTCTTCTCAACCATAAAATTCAAAATGAAAACCAATGGATTCTGATTTTTCGTCAACCTTCCTTAAGTTGATTTTTTTGAAACAATGTCAAGCTTTATACAATTCTTCCTCTCTCTCTATGTTCTTTTTTATATGTTTTTGGTTTGTTCACTTTTTCATTGTTCTTTTCACTTGTGTGCCATTTTGAACTCTCTTTCTCTCTTTCTTCTCTCTCTCTCTCTCTGTACACACACATACATATATAATATATATATATATATACATGGATAGGGTAGGAGGGGACATGTGTTTTTTATTTCGTTTAAGTTGGGTGTTAGTCATGGGAAAAAATGAGAGAAATGTGCAGAGGAGTTGGGCTGAAATCATGTGTTGTTTGGATTATTGGTCCTGCATACAGCTCTTCTGGCCAAGAGTCGTCATGCGCAAGTGGCTCAACATCTCCGCCAAAGATTCTGATTACAGCGCCGACACGGAGGACGAAGACGACTGTGACGCCGACTCCGACACCCAAGGTGGCTGTCATTTCTTCTTCTTCTTCTTCTTCTTCTTCTCTTTCAACCCAGTACAGACAATTTTTATGTTTTCTGATGATGCGTTTGTGTTTAAATTGGAATCTGGAAAATGGGTTATTTTTTTGTTTGAGTATTATGGGAATTTTACTGTATCTCTTGTGGAATTTGAGCTCAATTTTGTGCTTTTAGAATACCCTTTTGGGGTTTTAGGCTGACTGTAAAATGGGTTTTGCAGAGTTTTATCAACGGGGAAGAGATTCGAGGTTTAAAGATATCAAAGAAGATGAGACTGCGAGTGATGATGCTATTGGTAATATTATGCTTTAACCGGATTTTATTCTTCATTCTTCTTAAATATCAATTCTTTTTTACCGTCCTCGAGTTTTTATGCTTTCTTTTTGGCTTTTGATGATTACTGATGACTTAAAACACGGTTCTCTGCATCTGTTTGAGTTAAAAAGGACTCCACTATTTTGTGCTGAGCTTAAAGGTTTGCAATGAAGATGGTAGTGAATATTTTGATTCTGATGTTTTATCAATGTCTTTTGGATCTTCTGTAGCATTGTTTAGTCTCAAAGGTCATATGCATTTCCAGTGTTCTAACTTCTGATTTGAGTCTCCTGTGCCTTGTATTATTTTACTTTGTGCTACGGGATATCCCAGTTCCAGTATACTGCTTTTCGCTAATTATTTTCATGATTGTATTTTGCTTCTTGTTTTTTGGTTATGCAGACGATCTTCCAAGGGCACGAAGGCGAATGTCAGAGACTCTTAGGACACAGTATATAAACACAAAGGAATTCAGGTTGATGCCCATTGTTTTTTGTGACGTTAAAGTATAATTCACTACAATTACTGCGTGGTTTATCAGGCCTTCCCTTTAACTTCTGATCTTTCTTACTACTTCTGATCTTTCTTACTTTTGGTGTTTCCAGAGTATTTGCTACAACATGGAATGTTGGAGGACAAATTCCACCCGATGACCTGGACATTGATGGTTGGTTAGATGTCAATGAGCCATCTGATTTCTATGTGATTGGGTAAGCGTTTCTCCTTCCATTTTTTTCCTTGATTCACTGATTTTGCATTTAGGGATCTTAAGCTGTTTCTGTCATGATCTGTTTATCATGTGAATGATACTGCTACTGAAAATACGATAATTATAGATAAACAAGTGCTATCAAAATAGAGTTGCATCACTTGTATCGGATTCCGTATCTGTCATATTTGTGTCTGCTATTACTCTTTGGTGTAAGATCAAAATTCTGTCCTCTTTAATACCCTCTACCACTTTGATCTGTATTATCTGAATCTATTGTTCGTGGTCAAGAGTAAATCTTAGAAGTGTGAACTTTTTTGTTTTTTGTTTTCAGTCTTCAGGAGATTGTACCATTAAATGCTGGGAATATCTTTGGCGCCGAAGATAGCCGCCCAATTACTAAGTGGGAAAACATTATTCGTGAAACACTGGATAGAGTTCGACCTGCAACGAGCAAGGTTAAATCCTTCAGTGATCCTCCATCTCCATCAAAGTTTAAGCCAGCTGATGATATCCCTGATATAGAAGAGGAGATCCTACTTGAAAGTGATAGTGATATTGGTGAAGAAGTCCATCCATTGGATGACGAAACCATAAATTCTGGTGACAGCAAGGGTATATCAGTCACAAATGAAATAGTGAATATTGGTTCTCAAGTTCAAGAATTTACTGATAGCAAACCAGGCATGCCAACCGGACAGGATTTACTGAGGCAAAGTTATCCTGCAAAGAGATTGGATAGGTTATATAGCCTTCAGACAGATGATTGTTCATTAGATGATGAAGCAACTTCTGGTGTCCAATTTAATGGCAAGTTAACCAGAATGCTTAGTGGATCTGAAAGGATTGGTTTGAGCTGGCCGGAGCCTCCATTAAACTTGCTATCTCAGCACTTACTAGAAAGACGGAATTCCTTTCGAACAATGAAGTCTTTCAAATCCCCAAAATCTTTGAAAACGTACAATTCTGTCAAGTCAACTGTGAATGATGTGCCATCAGAAATAGCATTGCTTGCAGAGGTTGATCTTGAATCTCTCATGAAACGAAAAAGAAGATCATCCTATGTAAGGATTGTAAGCAAGCAGATGGTCGGGGTGTTCCTAACTGTATGGGTTCGTAGGGGGTTGCGTAAACATATTCAGAACGTTAAGGTGTCTACTGTTGGTGTTGGTGTTATGGGATACATTGGTAACAAGGTGTGTTTCTCTTATACAAATTCCTATCTCTGTTTTTCTAAATTCTTTTTTCATCACTATGAGCGTTGTAACTGGTGACAAACGTTAACATATGCTTTTGTCTTTGTCAGTAACTATTTGATAGTCTCACAGTTTTTTTCTTTCTTTCTGCTAACATAATTCTGTGAATGGATCTTATGACGTATTCATTCACATAGCTGATAACTTGTACAAACCATCGGTAAAAATTAGAGCGCTTTTGTGGTTTCCTCACTTTGCTTCCACCTGTAGTAACTAATATCTAATATGCTATTAATATCAAATGTACATTTTCTGTTGATTAATCATTACTAGGTCTACTTCTAATGTTTAAGAAATTTTTTTATGTTTCCATATTATGGTATCACTGCAACACTTTTTTGCCACTTCACTGGACGATCCTGTCATGTTCCTACGCGTTGAAATTTCCAACCCATCTAATGTTGAGGCTCTTTTGAAGGGTCCATTTCTGTAGGTCCTTAATTATCTCGTTATTCCATATGATCCATCTCTATTATATCTTCCTTCCTTTAATTTTCTTCGTTCATTGAAGCAATACACTTTGTTAACAGACCTGTTCATATTACATGTGATCAAAACTGTCTCAAGGAATACACTTATTAACAGACTGGTTCATATTACATGTGATCAAAACTATCTTTTGAACAACTCTCTCCCCTTAATTTCTACTGTTGCAACCCTTGTCTTAGAATTTATACCTTAATTATTTATTCTCTCCTCATAATCCTTCTATTTGAATGTTCCCATTATCCCGACCACCCTTGTTCTATGGCTATGTCATAAACGTTTTTCATCGCATGCCTGCTCGTTGATTTTGCTCAAATAAGGATAAAGTAGTAGATATTCCGGAAATAATTCAATGCTAGGTCTTGTTTCTTCATGTTTCATGCCTTCATATTCTACATTAGAAAGTGCCCTTATGGAGTAATGTTAATAATTGTCGGGTTAGTTTTCTTATCATTTATTTGATTCTTAGACAGTTATTCAATTTTTTCAGGGATCTATATCTGTCAGCATGTCTGTATATCAGACACTTTTTTGTTTTGTGTGCACTCACCTGACAGCAGGTGAGAAAGAGGCAGATGAAATAAAAAGAAATGCTGATGTGCAAGAAATACATCGGAGAACTCACTTTCGTTCGTTTTCTGGTATTGGGCTTCCCAAAACTATCTATGACCATGAGTAAGTACATTGCTGCTTAACTACAATATGCTTTCTTCAGAGATAATGTCTTCTCATATTTCTTTTCTTTTTTCGTCGTCTTAATTGAAATCTTTTCTGGATGAAAATATTGCTCATGAATCATCAAATAATGTTGGAATTTTTTTTTATACTTGTGAAGAGAGAAAGGTTTGCGCTTTGCATGACATTGACTTTGAATAATTATGGTGGACATACTTTTGGAAATCGTAAAGAAAGGTAGTTGCATGATACTGACAATTCTCTGGTCACTTTTATTCAGTTATAACAGTAACATATTTTGATGTAATAGTTTTCAACTAGAGGTTTTTATATCCTACGATCTCATGTCAGAAAAATTATATAACTACGTAAGTTATAAATTAATCTGGTGTAGGAAGTTGCAAATCTTGGCTTCACATTCTACTTTAATCGATGTGAAAAATTAGTTTAACTTTCAACTATACTATTACTTCAATTTAATAGTGTTTTAAGGATATATTTACCCCTCTTGAAGAAATAACAATAAAAATATTTCCTTTTCCTGCAGAAGAATAATTTGGTTGGGTGATCTAAATTATCGTCTTAATTTGTCATATGAGAAAACACGAGATCTTATCTCCCAAAAGGCGTGGTCCACGTTGGTTGAGAAGGACCAGGTATGTTTTTGTAATTTTCTTAAGACAGTTTGCTGTTTTTATTTTTTTTATAATGTGTCCCTGAATATCTTGAACTTTCATTTGATTTACTAAGAATTTTTACTGATGTTATGTAGCCTGCTTTTGTTGCTCGCTAATTCATGCTTACTGATTCTAGGCAGTTGGGTCTTTTAGATAATGTGTTTGGATTGTAGATTTTTTTAAGATGCAAGATGTAACAAGATCGAAACACGGAACAAATTCATAAATGAAAAATCGAAATTCTGAAGCCAATAATTTGAGCATCTTAAAACATATAACCCTAATGTGTATGATTGATGGTTTATCCATTCCATTAAAAGAGTCGTGTGTTGAACTGTACAGCATCTCTGCTTTTAAAAAGTCTATTGACTTGACTTTAATATTTTTGTGAGATTCCTCCACTGAATTTTTTTCTTAATTGATCGAACTTTAGCCTTTCAGTGAAGTTTGTTAAGTTTTCTTAGTTATCTGATATATATGTGAATTGGATTTTAGAGGGAGCTGAAAAGACAGAGAGAGTGAGAGACAAAGTTTTCCACAACTGCAACTCTGCAACATCACAGAGAGCACATTACATTCATATTCATTCCTTCCTTTTACATCAGTCATCACAACCGTTCAATTACATGAGCCAATGTGATTTTGACACATGGCAGAACAAAGCATATGAGCCATTGAAAAGAGACCTGATCTAAGATCATAAACTTGGCATATGAGCACAAGTTATCACAACATAAAACAGCTACTCAATAGAACAAAGATAAAATAGATAAGTAAATCATTTACTAACATGAAATTAGTAAGCAATTTACTTTTCAACACTCCCTTCTAAATTGTTAACTGATTTCACACCCAGTAAACTTCTCAAGTTGTTGAATCTGTCTTTGGGAAGAGCCTTGGTAAAGATGTCTGCAATTTGTTCTTCACTCTTGTAGTAAATCAGATCAATGGTACCTTCTTGAATTGCATCCCGAATAAAGTGAAACTTCCTGCCAATATGCTTGGTTCTTTGATGAAACACAGGATTCTTAGACATAGCTATAGTTGAAGTGTTGTCACAGAATAACGTTGTTGCTGCAGCTTGCTCTTCTCCAAAGTCCTTGAGCACAAACCTAAGCCAAATGGCCTGAGATGTTGCTTCAGCTGCACTAACATACTCTGCTTCTGCAGTTGAAAGAGCTACACTGTGCTGCTTGACTGAAGCCCATGAGAATGCTCCACTTCCAAATGAAAAAGCATACCCTGAGGTGCTTTTCATATCCTCCTCAGATCCACTCCAGTCACTATCGCAATATCCAATCAGCAAGACAGATTTTCCATTCAAATATTCAATTCCAAAGTCAATTGTTCCTTGAATGTACCTTAGGACTCGTTTAGCAGCTCCATAATGTTTCTTGGTAGGCTTGTGCATAAATCGTGCAAGTACACTAGCAGAGAACATAATATCTGGTCTAGTTGCTGTTAAATACAGAAGACTTCCAACTATTTTCCTATATTCACACTCATCTGCAGGTTCACTTCCATCTTCTCTTCTCAGTTTATCAGTTGCAACCAATGGAGTGCTCACTGGTTTGCAATCTTTGAGCCCAAATTTATCCAAAAGTGTTAGAGCATATTTTTTCTGATGTATAAATATACTCCCTTCAGTTTGAGTTACCCCCATTCCAAGAAAGTGATGAAGTAAACCCAAATCTGACATCTCATATTTGCACATCATTTCAGCTTTGAATTCTTCCATCATTTCTGCATTGCTCCCTGTGTACACAATGTCATCAACATAGATTGACACGATCAAGACGCCAACACCTTCCTTGCTTCTCACATATAAAGTTGCTTCACTTGAGCTTTTGTGAAATCCACAGTGAATTAAATATGTGTCAATTTCACTGTACCAGGCCCTTGGTGCCTGTTTTAGACCATAGAGAGCCTTTCTCAGTCTATAAACCTTGTCTTCTGCCCCTTTAATCACAAAACCATCAGGTTGATCAACATATACCTCCTCCTCAAGAACACCATTCAGGATGGCTGATTTAACATCTAATTGCCACAGTTTCCAACCTTTCTGTGCAGCTAGTGCAATGAGTGTTCTAATAGTATCTAACCTTGCCACTGGAGCAAAGGTTTCATTAAAATCAATCCCTGGTTTCTGTGTGTAACCTTTGGCTACAAGTCTTGCCTTGTGTTTTTGAATGGAGCCATCAAGATTCAACTTTGTTTTGTATATCCACTTCACACCCACAACAGGTTTACTACTAGGTCTGTCAACTAATTCCCATGTGGAATTCTTTTCAATCATCAATATTTCTTCTGTCATAGCCTTTTTCCAAGCATCATCTTTGACTGCCTCACTGAAATCTTCAGGTTCAATGATGCTCATGTTGCATTGAGCATATACTTCACTCAAACTCTTCCATTTCTGTGGAGTATGATCATAACTTCCAGAGATTGGAACTGGAGAATCAAGTGAACCAGGTTCTTAAGATGCTTGCAGGTCTCCAGTTGATTGTGATCTCAGAGGCTGCATTGACTGAGATGAATCACTTGAATCTGGCTCAAATTCAGATATCCTTGAGTTTCTTTCATCATTCCAAGAACTAGGAACTTGAACTGATTCATTAGTTTTCCAGTCCCATATCACTTTCTCATCAAAGATTACACTTCTTGATAGTTCAACCTTTTGAGTTCTCAAGTTGAAGATTCTATATCCTTTTTCACAATTTCCATATCCAACGAATACTCCCTTCTCACCAGTTTCCTCCAGTTTGTGTCTTTTCTGTGAAGGAATGTGAATATAACACATGGAACCAAATATCTTCAAATGTTTGACACCTGGCTTCCTCCCACTAAATGCCTCAAATGGAGTTATGTTGTTAAGAGCACTTGTTGGACATCGGTTTTGCAGATACACAGCTGTGTTGACAGCTTCAACCCAAAACTTCAAGGGAATCTTCTTTTCAATCATCATAGTTCTTGCCATTTCAATTATTGTCCTATTCTTTCTCTCTACAACACCATTTTGTTGCGGAGAGTAGGCAACAGTCAATTGCCTTTCTAATCCCATATCTTCATAGAACCTTGAAAACTCTAGAGATGTATATTCTCCACCCCTATCACTTCTGAGTTTCTTGATTTGATAGCCACTTTGTAGCTCAACCATGGATTTAAACCTTTTGAAAATGTTGAAGACTTGAGACTTATGTTGCAAGAAAAATACCCAACACATCCTAGTGTGGTCATCAATAAATGTGAGAAAGAACTTGTTGCCTCCTAGAGTAGTTATCTGCATTGGGCCGCATATATCAGAATGAATAAGTTCTAGAGGTTGTGATGCCCTCCAAACTTTTCCCTTGTCAAATGATTCCCTGTGACCCTTTCCTGTAGCACATCCGGAGCAAACATGCTCAGAAACTTGTAGTCTAGGTAAGCCCTGCACCATTTCCTTCTCTTGCAGAAGCATCAAACTAATGTAGTTTAGATGTCCATATCTTCTATGCCACAACTGAGATGACTCTTCAACAGTTGCTCTATTAGCCATGTGAGGATTAACATATTCCAAACTTAATGGAAAGCATCTGTTCCCTTTCATTGGAACACTTGCAATCAGATCTTCCATCTGTCTATCTCCATAAATATCAACCATGTAATCACCAAACACAAGCCAATGTCCATGTTCTACCATCTGCCCTACACTCAATAAGTTTTCATCCAATCCAGGTACAATCATAACTTCTTTAATATACCTAGTCACACCTTTCATCTCAATCACCAATGTGCCTTTGCCTATTGACTGCACTAAATCTCCAGTGCCCATTTTAACTCTACACTTCACATTCTTGTCAACATCAATAAGCAAGGATTCATGGGAGGTCATATGATTGCTACATGCACTATCTACATACCATATATTCATACTTTTTCCAATAGTAGCAGAATGGCAGGCATAAAACATGGTTGCAGATTCTGTTACCTGATTCGCATAGTTTACAAGTTTTCCAGACTTGTTTGGTTGATCACAATCCTTGATGAAATGACCGAAACGATTGCATCCATGACATTTTGGCTTCCTTTTAAACCAGCACTCACCATAGTGCAGTTTATCACAATGCTTGCATTTTCCCTTAGACTGATCAGATTTTCCTCCTTGATCATATTTGCCACCTCGATTAGCAAGATTCAGAGGTTTAGGATCCCATTTCTTCCCTTTTGATTTCCAATCCTTCTTTGGTTTAGAATTACCAAACGAGAGATTTGGTTGATTTCCTTTCGAATTCAGATTCAGAGTACTGAAAGCTCTTTCAATGGTACTCTCAGCATGTCTATCAAGACGTTGTGCAAACCCTCTTAATGCTGCAATCACCTCTTGTACCTCAATAGTTTCAATATCCTTGGTTTGTTCAATTACATAACAAACAGGATCCAACTCCTTAGTTAAGCTTATGAGCAATTTTTGAACTAATCGTTCTCTGGGTAAATCTTCCCCATAACCCTTCATCTGATTTACCAACTCGAGAAGACGAGTGAGATACATAGACAGAGTTTCATCATCCCTCATCCTTGTGTACTCGAAATCACGGCGTAGACCCTGCAACTTGATGGATCTCACTTGCTTATCACCATGAAATTCCTGATGTAGGATATCCCAAGCACCCTTTGAGGTTTCTTCGTTTTGAGATTCTGGGAAAGATGTCATCCGAGACAGCTCCTTGGATTATACCCAGTGCCTTAGCATCCTTCATTAGCTTGTCGCTCAGAGAAACTCTCTCCGACTCCGATGAACCTTCATCTCCAATCTTCTTATCCTTCGATTCTGAAATTTCAATCCCCTTTTTAACTAAATCCCAGATTCCATGTGATTTGAAAATAGTTCTCATTCGAATCTTCCAGAATTCATAGTTGTCACCATTGAATATTGGAGCTCGAAGATCACTACCACCAGATCCAGCCATTTGAGACTTGAATCGACAAAACTGAGTCGGAAATTTCACGTTGGATTTCCGAGCACAGCACTCACAGATCTTACGCCCCGATTCCAGATAGAACCTGAGCTCTAGATACCATGTTAAGTTTTCTTAGTTATCTGATATATATATATATATGTGAATTGGATTTTAGAGGGAGCTGAAAAGACAGAGTGAGAGACAAAGTTTTCCACAACTGCAACTCTGCAACATCACAGAGAGCACATTACATTCATATTCATTCCTTCCTTTTACATCAGTCATCACAACCGTTCAATTACATGAGCCAATGTGATTTTGACACATGGCAGAACAAAGCATATGAGCCATTGAAAAGAGACCTGATCTAAGATCATAAACTTGGCATATGAGCACAAGTTATCACAACATAAAACAGCTACTCAATAGAACAAAGATAAAATAGATAAGTAAATCATTTACTAACATGAAATTAGTAAGCAATTTACTTTTCAACAAAGTTAAGTGCGATTCCAAACTTAGCTACTAGTCACATTTATGTTTATCTTGACAGCTTGCAAAACAGCTTAAAAAAGGCCGTGCATTTGATGGATGGTCAGAGGGTGTTCTAAATTTTCCACCAACGTACAAGTATGAGACCAATTCAGAGAAGTACTATAGGGAGGATGCAAAGACCGGGAGGCGAACTCCAGCATGGTAGGCCTCTGTTCATCTCCATTTCTGGTTTTTTATTTGTTGACTTACTTTTTTACTTGTTTTGTTTCAATGAGTGCTTTGCACAATACATGTCGACCACTCTTTCGTAAAGGCTGATTTGATTTTTATTTTTTATTTTGGTATGATTATCTAGTTATCGTAATATAGGTGTTAGAATTTATACAATATTTAAGGAACCCTCTTTGTCAACCAAAGAGAGTGAAATGACATTCGACATTTGTGTCCTATTTATATTAAAGAAGTCTCATAATATCTTTAATAATATCTCTAAAGAAGTTTAATGACATTTGTGTCCTCTTTATGAATTTATGTCTTAACAAGCGTTTGAATTATTTTCATGTTCGTTGCAATATAAGGTGTTTCTTCTATTTTTATCGGTTCCTTGAACAGAATTGACCATAGTGTGACTGTATTTCTCAGGTGTGACCGCATTCTTTCATATGGACGAGCAATGAGGTTACTGAGTTATAGAAGGGCTGAACTTAAACTTTCTGATCATCGGCCAGTGACTGCCACATATGCAGTTGAGGTTGAGGTGTTTTGTCCTAGGAGGCTACAACGGGCCCTCACGTTCACTGATGCCGAGATTGAAAATGAGGACATCGTAATGGATATGGGTATTGATGTTGGAGTGAACTGCTTAAAATTGGAACAGGTTAGTACTTTCCTAGGCATTTGATTTGATTCATATCTTGTTGGATTTTCGAATTCTACTGTCAACCCCTCACCCAACCTGGTTCCAAACCAACGGCCTTTTTTCCATGATTTGTGTTGATAGACGTGTTTCTCAATTGAAATTGATCCAAGTTACATTCTTCAAGTTTTTTGTTTAATGCCTTGCATATACAATTTGGTACCTCTACTTCTAAGAACTATCAATCCTCATTGTCACTTTTGTTTGTGCACTAGATTGAGCGACAACTATCATTTTGTTTAATGTCGCTAACTCCCAAGTTATAATACGTCATGTGTACTTACTACATTGTAAAAATACCTCCTTTTTTTCGGCCCCAAAGTTTACTCAAATGCTCAATTGTCCTTGCGGCTTGCCCATAAGTCGTCTTGTGATACGGTTTTGTTTAGTGAATAGCTTAAATCATTTGTAATTCCATTCCTACTTCCTAAACATGCTTCCTGATGCAGGATATTTCTGATTGGGAGCGTTAATGGATGCGAAAATTCGGTGGGAGTTGGTAAAACTTGTGAAATTTCTTACGTTTACATTTACAGGGAACATTCATTCTTTGGCGTGATTCAAGGCTCGTTTGGATGTACTTTTAAAATGGCTGAAAGCGCTTTTAGAGAAAATGTTTTTGGGTTCCAAATGCACTTTAAGTGCTTTCTGCAAGAAGTACCAGTTATGTGCTTCTTCCATGAAGCACTTTTAGTATTTTTCCAGGATTTACTTGCATTTTTACTTGGTTCCAAAAATATTTTCACCAAAAACGCTTTCAGTTATTTAAAATCATATCCAAACGAGCCCTAATTTGTCAGCACTCAACAGTGATGCATGTTGCAGTTAGATATAAATATTATAGGTGATTTTGCGCATTCGTCGGAGAGCATATTTAGTCGAGTTGAGTCGGGTCGAGTTGAGCCGAGTTGAATTGAGTCGGGTCGAGTTGAGTCGTAGAGAGTAGGTTGTACAGTAAAGTTGGATATTTATACATGTGTATCTTCAATAACTGGTTTGTATTCAAATTACAAATTCCTCACTAATTAATAGTCGATTGGCTCATATATGAAGTTTAACTAGAACGCATAATACATGAGAGTCGATTAAATTGGCCACAAAAAATTTCACCACACGTGACGGAACATGTGAATCGGGCATAAAACATACTCCATCTTCGTAAGCACGTATGTTTAGTTAGTTTCCTCTCAGTTCGAAAAGGGTTGAGAAGAGGCGACGGAATGAATTGGGCGTAAAACACCCCCTAACTATACACAATAAAGTTCACAAGGGTACTCATACTCAACAACTACTAGCTAATAAGCACTTGTGCAAGACATTAACAAAACAGAAGAAACTAAGCACATTTACGAGCATCATCCCCTTGAGTATTATTATCAGCCGTCAACGCCATTGACAACTACATTTTATATTTATATCTCATATGTATCTTTTTCTTTTCTTTTTCTTTTTTTGGTACAAATATCTCACACGTCTTTATTTGTACAACTATTTCACACTTCCGATGAAATTTATGAAGCAACATCACTAAGTACGAACGAGTATAAAGTCCTCGTTCGTGTTATTACAGGGAATCGCCTGAAGAACCCAACAACGCAGGCTTTCTCAACCAATACTGCTGAAACCTCTGCCTTGCATACTCAACGTAGTCAAAATCAATTTTGTTCACATAACCCTGCAAACCAGCAGCGAACGTATCTTACGGTACACACACAAAGAAGCGATCACTCGAACACATATAAACACAAGCTATTGCGAATAAAAGTGTAATAAAAATTAGAAACTATTACCGAAATTATTCCCCATAAACCCCAAAAGAGATGGTTGGCCAAAGTGTACTTGTCTGTTATTTCAACTAGCTGCTCCACCTCAGCATCACTGGGTTCGTAATCTATATGGAATATTGGAGATGAAATTTGTTGAGAATCACCAAAGCTTTCAAATCAAACATTCAAATCATTCGCAAAACCAATAGACTAACCTGCAGAGCTCAGATATGCACGGACAAATTTCTGGCGCTCCTCCAGACCTGATGCAACGCAGTGGAGAAAACCAAATTATTTAATTTGTAACGAAATAAAAATACAAAAATGATTAATTCCATGTTTGCAGCTTGATTGAATGCTCAAGGTTAGAGCAGCTCCAGCGTGTGCTAGAGCCCAAGGGACAGGCCTGCGAACAGTGGCAGAGAGCCTGAGCAAGCAAGCCCAGCGTGTGCTGGTGAGGGAGCCTGTGCAGGCTCGAGGGAGAGGCCCGGCACGAGTTGCCAACCCGAGAGCCCGAAGGCAATGTGACGTGGGCTGACATCAGGCGACATCAGCCACAATATTTTTTGCTTATATAAAATATATAATAATCAATATAAAAGAACAACAATATAATATAAACTATTCTTAAAATCATAACCCTAACCGATAAATTAAAGGACCATATAAATAATTAACCTACTAATTAAATCAAGAATAAGTAAATAAAGAGATTAAGAACGTACCAAATGTGACATTCATTGAAAAAGTGCAACAGAAAGTCGGGAATTGCAGAGATAGGGATTTAATTGTGTATTTAAAGAACTTATTAATCTTTTCTTGAGTAAGAAGCACAGAGGCTAAACTACATAGGGTAAATGGTCTTTTTCTTTAAAGAATAGAATAAAGGGGGACTAGAGATAGAACTAATTTATAATTTTTAGCATAAAACTATTATTTTCTACCTCTCCTCTACTAAATATACATTAAATAATAATATGTATTGAAATTGAGTAGGCTCTAAGCATGAGTTTACAAAAGAATAGATCTATTCACAAACCCATTTTTACTTCCAACACAGCCTTATTAATATTTTGTCAGTGATCATTTTCAATTCATTCGATCCGAACAACCAACAATTAAGAGAAGTGTGTAAGAAGTAAAAATGAGTGCATGGATAACACTACCCTTACAGAAAACCTCCCTGGGCTATAGCCCACCTTAGCCTTGTGGGTGGCTACGCCATTGCGCCGCACCCCATGCTGCCTTCGCCTCCGCGCACTTGCGATCCCCCTCCTTCCACGCGCACCCAGATCGCACGATTTGGGATTTGTTTTTGGGGGAAAGAGGAGAGAGAGAGAGAGAGAGAGAGAGAGAGAGAGAGAGAGAGAGAGAGAGAGAGAAATTTTAACTAAGGAGTTGGCGACCTTTACCTACTTAACTAAGGAAAAATTGTGAATTTTTACACGGATCAGCTATTGATGTTGTTAGAGTCTGAGGCCCTGCCTTTGGAGCTCAAGTGAGAGAGAGCTGCTGAGCTTGAAAAAGAAAGAAAAAAAACACACACACAGAGCTTTTGGAATGGTGCGTTGGCACCATGTGAAAAGAAGAAAAAAAATAATAATAATACAAAAGGGTTTTGGAATGGTGCATCGGCACCATGTGAAAAAAAAACAAACAAACAAAGGTTTTGGAATGGTGTGCTGTAGCATGTGAAAGAAAAAATTAAAAAAATAAAAATAAATTTTTTAATAGAAAGTGGTACAACGAGACCGATTAAAAATCATATCCGAAATTACAAATAAATTATTTTGTATTATTTAAAAAAATACTAATATTTTATTGTCTATTGCCAGGACTATTCAGTGTAGAGGTGGAGATGCAAAATGCAGTTACTATTCATTAAGGGCAGTTAGTGTTCACTAGGTGGATTAAATAGTGGATAGCCTGGGAGACCTTAGCAACGGTGGAACTGCTCTTATAGTAGGAGAAAATGCAATGAAGAACGAATCACTAACAGATTAACAGTTACCTGGATAGTTCCTGTAGTCCAAAACATGAGGTGTGTCAGAGTGGTAGTTCGCTACCATTTCACAGAAATGATTTGCAAGGTCATAAGCAACAGGATTATAACTGGCATATTCATAATCCTGGAAACATAACAAAATCATATTAGAACTTGTACAGCAATTTGCAACACCGGTTTATAACGTTGGTTTACATATCTATTCTTTAGCAAGAACATAACGGAAATCCAACTACGGATAACTTGAATCATGCTTGGTGAATACAATTTGAATATGAGGCTAGACAGTTTTCATTAACGTTTACGTGCAAGCAAGACATGCCAAGAAAATTACTCTCAGCGATTGCTTCACGTGGAAGGAAAGAAAAGTGGTAAAGAAAGTGGTAAAGAAGGTGCAATACTTTTAAAACCACAGAAAGAGTTAACGATAATGAAACAGTTTCATTGAAATCGAGTAAGGAACTCACAATTATAGTGATTAATCTGGTCTCTTCGTCCATCATTATGTTACCGTATTGCAGGTCATTGTGACAGAACCCAATTTGTTGATAGCCCTGTGACAGTTCCTTCTCTAACATACTAATTTCCTCTTCCAAAGTGTCCAAGCCAAATTTCTGTATGTCTTTTATCGAACACAAGTTTTTCACCTCATTGAGCCAGTTCCTGGGGAAAATAGGTAAATTGCATAAAAAATCATGAATCCTCAAAAGGGAAACCTTAGCTTTTCAAAATATAAAATTACCTCATTCTATCCCAAAGGACTACATTTCTCGGACCAGGCATATCCAAATTGTGGAACTCTCTCAGCTTAGCTGCTATAATTGCAGATATTTCGGGATCACGGAGGTCAGCAGCTGATAGCGTCTGGGAATTCAAAAGACAAATAGCTTATGGAGATGCTAAAAGTATCTTCTGCAACAGGTAATTTGAACAGTGAACCTCAAACGTCCCTTTGTTCGTTTTTGGTATGATATGGATAAAATTCCAAAACAAATAAGACAGTCCTTTTTGACGACTTATAGTTTATATTGAGAAAATATAAGATCACTGAAGTCAATTCAAATTAGATGATGCATAAGCTGTCCAGCTGGCACAGTAATTGGAAGGTGAAACTGGAGAGGATCTATTACATATTCATCATCTATCTCGATAGCTAAAAGATTGATTGCCTCTCCTTTTAATTTTTCGATTAACTATAAGATTCTGCAAATCGCGGTTCAGTTGTATCCAAAATGTATTTCAGTAAGCATAATTCTGTAAACTAGGCCTACAAGGGTTTCAACAGTCTATATTTTCTGGCGTAACGAGTTTAAGCTTTTCTAGTCTTATCACAATCTTATCAAAAATTTACTCATCAAAAATGATTTATTAAGTGACTAACGGCTTCTTCCTTTCACAACAATTAAGAAATCAGATACCCTTATCATACCAAAAAAAGAAAGAAAAGAAGCTATAGTACCACTTAAAAGGAACGGTCAAGATTACAGTGACCGTACCGCCTGTCTCTGTTTGCTGTCTGCATCATTCAATTTAGTCCTAAAGTGCATATTGGACGATTAAACTAAGATGAGTGTGTGGTGGGGTGAGGAGGGAAAGAGAGAGAGAGAGAGAGAGAGGAATAAAGAAAAGTAGTGACAATTATAGTGGATTAGTGAAAGTATTTGAAAGACATCATTAGCTGAAGACTACTAAAAAATAGAAGATAATATGAAATGGTAAACATAGCAGTTCACATACTCTAGCATGAATGAACTCCTCAACCCGTCCCTCTGCAAATCGTCCAAGAAGGCGCGGCCCCTGGCCGTGCTTGGACATGCACTCAAACGTCTGAACTTCATCCTCCCGGTTAAAAAACACTTCAACTCCTTCGCCATAAACCCGGACCAGAACTTTTCTGAAAAGGTCTACACCGTTTTTCGTAGGCCAACTTATTTGATAGACCTCGTTAGTCATGGCCCCCTTCAATGGGATAACCTGCAAGCCATTCATATCATCCACTACATCCCCCCATTCAGAAGCTACAGATAAAAGTACCTTCTTTAACTCCTCAGGAAGTCGACCTTTAATAAGACCAATTGTCTTTATGGCCATTTTGTATCAAATTATCAATTCAAACAGGCTTCCCCTGCATATCAAAGTGTTCTATTAGCTTCTATCTTATCGAATTCCGGCACGAATCTTATGTTGTTTGCTGAAATCTAATCAAAATGCTTAATTGCAATAATCTAATCATATCAATATCACAACCGATGGAATTAAAAAAAAAAAAAAAAAA